ATATGTGTCAAAATTACTAGGTGAACTTTCTGCTTTTCCTACAGATCTAGCAAGGGAAACAGGTAGCATGCCATCGACATCAGAGAACACTGTAAAGGAAGGCCCAGGACAGCCTTCAACCCAAATAACTAAGAAGAAAACTTATCGAATGCCATCGTGGAAAATCAGGTAGGTACTAATAATGTATTTTATTCAAATGTGCTGCGTGGTACTGGGTGGTATTGATGTCATACCTATCTGATGTATGGCATCAATGCCATCTAAAGAAATGAAATGCTAAAGAAGGCATGAAAGACAATAGCTTGCGCTTTATCAAGATTTTAGGACAGTTTAAAAAGGAATTATACGTTATGCTAGCTACCTTATGTAAAGATGTCTTGATTATTTACCGTAATTGACAGGCGACTAAAGGGACGTGGCATCGGTGCCTTGCTGAAGCAACTGCAGCCAGATGGCTGTGCTGGACAGGATCCCACACCATCAGGTCACCTAGAGGGTGAAAGAACCGATCCTGTTCAGAGAATCTCGCACAATGCAGAGAAGTTGTAAGTAATATGCCCTGCGTGTGCCTCTGTCTGCTCATTTAACGGATACGGGAAGACCATCTCAGTTTCTCAGTGCAGGACGTTTAAACTTTTGAGCTCAACACATTTTTTTTTTGTCCTTGCATACGGTTTCGCCAACCTAGAATGCGCGTGAAGGGTGGGACTAAACCCTGGACAATGGACATCTCAATTGGCTCTTGAGTCTTGGTTAAAAAAACAACAAAACTTTGCTTTGAAGACCAACCAATTTTGACGTGTTTAGTTTTACGATGTACGATCACATTAACATTTAACATGTTTAACATAACCATTGACATGTCAACTACTTTCAGGGAGATCAAAGCGCTTAACCCGGCTAGGAAGTCCGATTCATCCGAGCAAGAAGGTCGGCCTCTGGCGGAACAAGCTCAACCCCCAATAAAGGATAGTTGCAGCTCTCCGGCGCATCCACCTGTCAGCATTCCGAAGTTGGACAAAAGGCTAGCCCAACAAGAGGAAGGTGTCAAAGAAAGTGGCGGAAAGAATGCCTTTAAGAGGAAAATGACTGCGCTTGTTCGAAAAAGTCCGGAATTACGAAAATATTGGCAGCAACGCTACCGTCTCTTCTCTAGGTAAGGAGAAGACATTTTTATCGTATCAGATGAAATGCCATGTTTTTTTTTATAAGCTCAATAGGTGCTAAGTGTTTCCACAAAAGTCGGGATGCCGATGCTATGGAAACTAGATTAGTTGACGAGTGATTAACTCTTCCCTGACCCAATTGCGAGTGATGTTTAGGGGTGACACCTCTCGTCTTCGACAGGTTTGACGAGGGAGTTCGTCTGGACCGGGAGGGCTGGTTCTCGGTGACGCCCGAGCGAATCGCGCGGCACATCGCCGACCGGTGTCGCTCGGACGTCATCGTGGACGCGTTTTGCGGCGTCGGGGGCAACGCCATCCAGTTCGCCGCCACCTGCCGGCTCGGTGAGACTACACATACAACGGGACCTGGGCTGACAGAGAAGACATGAATGAGCGTGAGGCACGAAATCCTAATGACGTACGGGCTGACATGGTTTATATATTCCCGACCGGGGCTGGGAAAATGCGTTTTATTCACCGAGGTTTTTGTGCGGAGGACCGAGTGCCGGTAGGCACGAGGTCCGTAGCAAAAAACCGAGGTGAATAAAGCTGCATTTTCACAGCCCAAGGTTGGGAAGAGATTTACCACATGCCGTATAGGCGCAACAGTTAATATCATATTCATTTGATATTTTACACTTTAATCTTAATATTGTGTTAATATTATATTAATACTATGTTCATATTTATAGTCACCGTGATTATTTGTTTGTGTTTTTCATTATTAGGCTGCGTTGAGTATGAAAGATGAAATTCCTACTTCCCTTTATTTAGGAATGAAAAAGCTGAGGATGAAGATGGTGAAACGCCAGAAGTTAGAATAAAGATATGGAGTCCAGCAGCAGTGAGGAAACCGTGAGGAAAACTAAAAATTGGGTGAAACGCTGAATCAAACGCGTCTTGGATCCCAGCTGGAACAATATCAATGTTTCATTGTGGCACGTTAAGATGCTTCACGCATTTAAATTGTTCGTTTTTTGCGTGCATTATGTAGAAATAATCAGGGGCGTCGACGCGTAAGGAAAACTGGTCCGACTTTTTCTCGGGGGGCCCCCACCGGTGGGGGCCCCCAGGTGTCGCGAGGGCCCCGCGAGGCGCAGCAGGGCCCCCGCGAGCCGCAGCGGGGGGCCCCCGTTGCCGCAGCAGGGGCCCCCGTGGCCGCAGCAGGGCCCCCCGAGAGCCCCAACAGGGGCCCCCGCGGCCGCAGTAGGGGACCCCGCGGGCCGCAGCAGGGCCCCGCGGTGTCTAGCAGGGCCCCAGAGGCGCAGCAGGGCCCCCGCGGTCTCTAGCAGGGCCCCCCGAGCCGCAGTAGGGCCCCCGCGGTCTGCAGCAGGGGCCCCCGCGAGCCACAGCAGGGCACCGCCTAGTCGAAAAAGTGGTCCGACTAGTCGGAAAAGTCGGACCGGTGTCGACGCCCCTGGAAATAATGATTATTCCGACCATGTTCTGCAGCAATAAATACATTGGCATTGGAACGATAACCTTGTTTAGTTGAATTACGTTGACAGCAAAAGTATGTAAACACGCAGTCACTTACTTTTGCTGTTTCTGTTAGTGAACACACAATCCGTAAATATCTTCTTTGAAATAGGATCTTCCGCTCAGAATATTCAGTAAAACTTTGTCTGGGAAAATCAAAAAGCCCTAGGGCCGAATCGTTTCCCAAATACCTTCAACATTAGCCGAGGCGGGCCGAAGCCATTTCCCAAATGCACGTGCTAATGTTAAAGGGATATCTCGGCATGTGGTAAATTGGTTATATACAGACATTTGTTAGTAAATGAGCCGTGGAAGTCTCCACGTTTTGATATTACCGACTTAGCTACTAACGAAATACTATTGAACCGAAGATCAGTGCTCAGAGAGGTAGTGTTTTGACACATGTTTTTTCTCCGACAGTGATCGCCGTGGACATATGTCCCGAGCGTGTGGAGCTGGCTCGGTTTAACGCCGGCGTGTACGGTGTGCAGGACCGTATCCAGTTTGTGGTCGGCGACTTTTTCGAGCTGGCACCGCGGCTGCGGGCCGACGCCGTGTTTCTTTCGCCTCCGTGGGGCGGTGAGTGAAATATAAAACATAACGATTTTTCTCATGGCTCATGCTGGATATGAAATAGCAAATACGGTGACATGCTGCCTATGTGGCCCAAACTAGTGGCTCAATATTGAGCATGTGGAGAAGCATGTTATCAACACATCTTTTTCATCCATTTTTATTATGTGTCGTTCGCTTCATTTGACCCTCCGCCGTTTGTCACAGGTCCTGAGTACTCGAATGCTGAGGTGTACGACATGTACCGACTGGACGGTACAATGGATGGCCGGGAGATGATGCGAGCCGCCCGCTCCATCTCCAAGAACATTGCCCTCCTGGCGCCGCGCAGCGCCGATGTAGATCAGGTGAGATCGACTTCTGTTCCTGATAGCCTGTGGTCAAATTTAGCAGCGTCTGGGAATTAGACCGATTCCATATCTATTAAATGTTTGATCTTGCTTCTTGATCGTTTTGAACCGTTAACGGATAACCTTATCAATTTAATTAGGTTCTAACTATATGGTTTCTATAGGGACTCTTTCTAGTTCAAAACTCATCATAGTCGAAGTGTGCGGCGCTATCAGTGGAATATATATTCCCGACCGGGGCTGGGAAAATGCGTTTTATTCACCGAGGTTTTTGTGCGGAGGACCGAGTGCCGGTAGGCACGAGGTCCGTAGCCAAAAACCGAGGTGAATAAAACTGCATTTTCACAGCCCAAGGTTGGGAAGAGATTTACCACATGCCGTACCGGCGCAACAGTTAATATCATATTCATTTGATATTTTACACTTTAATCTTAATATTGTGTTAATATCATATTGATACTATGCTCATATTTATAGTCACCGTGATTATTTGTTTGTGTTTTTCATTATTAGGCTGCGTTGAGTATGAAAGATGAAATTCCTACTTCCCCCTTATTTAGGGTTTGAAAAAGCTGAGGATGAAGATGGTGAAACGCCAGAAGTTAGAATAAAGATATGGAGTCCAGCAGGAGTGAGGAAACCGTGAGGAAAATTAAAAAATTGGGTGAAACGCTGAATCAAACGCGTCTTGGATCCCTGCTGGAACAATATCAAATGTTTCATTGTGGCACGTTAAGATGCTTCACGCATTTAAATTGTTCGTTTTTTGCGTGCATTATGTAGAAATAATGATTATTCCGACCATGTTCTGCAGCAATAAATACATTGGCATTGGAACGATAACCTTGTTTAGTTGAATTACGTTGACAGCAAAAGCATGTAAACACGCAGTCACTTACTTTTGCTGTTGCTGTTAGTGAACACACAATCCGTAAATATCTTCTTTGAAATTGGTTCTTCCGCTCAGAATATTCAGTAAAACTTTGTCTGGGAAAATCAAAAAGCCCTAGGGCCGAATCGTTTCCCAAATACCTTCAACATTAGCCGAGGCGGGCCGAAGCCATTTCCCAAATGCACGTGCTAATGTTAAAGGGATATCTCGGCATGTGGTAATGAGCATTAGTACCTTTCCTTATCGCTATACTGACGGACCATATCTACCTCAGCTGGCGGCGATGGCCGGCCCGGGCGGTCGGGTGGAGGTGGAACAGAATCTCCTCAACGGCCGGGCCAAGACCATCACGGCGTACTACGGGGACCTGATCGGCACGGGCGAGTCATGAGACAGCGGTGAAACGGTGCTTCTGAAGGCGGAATGGCCAGATGGTGCTCTTGTGATGTATTGTGATGACATGAATAAAGAAAAGCCATGCTGTGTTGTAATATGCTTTTGATATGCACTGAAGATGGATGTTGAACAAGTTAATAGTTCATGGGACGTAACGGCAATACTACAATGCATGAGTGACCACATGTATTTGTCATTCACTTGCATTTCGAATCGTTCCGTAATACTCACTCCTGGCTCTGAGAAATGATGACTTCACATTTGTTCAAAGGCTTATTTATCAGCATACTTTGCAACGAATATCTGACACGCAGATAATGTGACCGGCGAGGAGTATTGAACATCAACAGAGCTTCACAAACGTCGTGAGGACTGTACAGCAGGAACTTCCGAACTATAAATTAGGTACCTACTTTTTGCTAACTCACTCTAACAACCTACAATGGCTTCACTCGGAGGTGGACGGGGTGGCACCTGGAGGCACCGGCCGTTCCGCCTCACTCAGCAGGCGCAGACGCTCCGCCTGGCGTGCTGCCAGCAGGCGGCGGAGGCAGAACGCCTCCTCCCTCAGACGGGCCACCCGCGCGCGCAGCACCGCGTTCTCGCCGTCCAGCCAGCAGGCGCGCAAGTTGATCTGATCTTCACGCGCCTTCCGACTGTCGCGCGACCGCTTGGCGGCCAAGTTGTTTCTTCTGCGGCGCTCGAAGTACTTCTGGTCCTTGAGGGCGTCCGGGATGGCGCGTTTGGCGCCCCGGGGGCGTCGGGCGCCGGCGCCCTGCAGCGCCCGCGCCACCAGCGGACTGCTGAGACCCACCACTCCCGGAGGCAGCAGTGAGAGAGGAGCCAAGGAGGGCGGCGCCACGGGCGTCCCAGCCACCGACATCTCCGCCTCGCCCGACATGTTCACCGGAAAATAGAAGAATGGCACTTTGTTTTTGTCTTCTATTGCCATCAATGACAATGGTCACTTATTCAGCAGAGTGGCGATTTCTTTGAAGATGGCGGAAAGGCCAAGGATCTAAGATCTTCTTCAGTATCACTCCTGCTCACCGAAATCTCACCCAACGCTACCTCTTGGTCGTAATCAGGCGTGAATCACCACCGAAACCCAGTCACTGCGACCGGCGCGAGGTGAATGCGCAGAATGCCGACTGTGGTGACACCAATGCCGCTTCGGATTGCCTCGGGCTAATTGGCGATGCGCATTGATCGCAGCGTGGGAGCAACCGCAGCTGCCTGGCTGGTGGCCGCTGATTTCGGCCCGGTCCGGCCGGTGCTGGTGGTGGCTCCACCCGATCGATTTATGATATCTGTACCTGTAACTAGTGATTGTTTTGCTATTCGCTGAGGTAAATCTTAGTTGGGAGCCGGTTGGCATGATCGAGTTATTTTAGAGAGCTTTTATTACCCTCTACCATGCGCTTGGCAGTTGGCATTGAGCACTAACAGATTTGAAGTGGCTTGGGTATCGCTCGAAGATGTATCGCTGGAGCTTTACACCAATGACGTAGTGACAGACCTGCTTTATTACGGACGCCATTTAATTGCGTCCCAGAAAAGCTATTTCTGGCACGTAAAAGCTGACTCGCCCCAAAATTGGTCCTCAGCACCTATTTGGTGGATACCAGCACCAATCATGGAAAATGACCTTAATTAGCTGTTTCTGGCACCTATTCATCGGTACGCCTTACTCTTTTTTTCTGAATCTGGCACCTAAATGCTGAGCGTAGCACCAATCTAGTAGAAAAATGAACTACTGGCTGGTAGAATCATGTTGTTCTGGTATAATGACCCCTGTAGTCTAGCCTAAAGGTTGCCAGTGCAGCTACACTCTAAGACAGCCCCGTAGTGATCTCAGCATTGTATATGACGTTTAACCCGCGCGGGGCTGGGGGGGGGGGTAAATTTTACCCCCCTCGCGAATTTTTGCGATATCTCAAAAACGGCGGCGCACAGCGCCGCCAAACTTTCTGTACCTTTTCTTACATCAATTTGACACGTTCCCTGAAAATTTGAGCGAAATCCGTCGGAAAATTTTTGAGAAATTGACGTTTTAGTGACGTCATGTTCGCCATTTTCGCCTCAAAAACGGCAAAAGTTCAAACGCCGCTAACATCTTCATTTTTAAAGGAATCAAGACGTAACAAAAAAGGTTATACGTAATTTTACTTTGTCTATCAAATGGGTATCTCGGTTTTTTGAAAATTTTGGATTTTGGCCTAAATTTTTTCAAAAAACTGCCTTTTTTGGTAAAATCATTATAAAATCCAAAATTTTGAGTCTATCGAAAAAAACCGGAATATATGTCAGAGAAGTGGTCTATGTGCACCTACATACCAAATTTTAGAAGAATCGGTTCAAAAATGTGGGAGTTATTCAAAATTTTATGACGTCACGACACACAAATTTTTTGAAAAATGACTTTTTTGGAAGTTCTAGACCTCGTACGAAAACAAAAATAGCACTATTCGATTCGCCGTGAAAAACTGCATCAGATAGACACCTTTTTAGGCCTTAACAACCAACTTCAAAATTTGACCTCACTTGACCTGACCTTGACCTGACCTCGACCTGAAATTCATCCAGAGGTGGTCCATATCACTTATTGAGTGTGCCTATTGAATTCTATGAGTAAAATGACCCATAAAACATGTGTCGCACACATAGGCGTAGGAACAGGGGGGGCCAGGTGGGCAAGTGCCCACCCACTTTTCGAGGTGGGGGGGCCAACCATGTGTTTTGGCCCACCCACTTTTTACTCGAGGCCCCTCGTCTCGATTGGAGAGGACGTCGTCACCTTCCAGAATAAACAAACTCGGTAAAAATAAGTTCCACGGATCCCCACGCTTGGACTCCAAGGGGCCGTGATGGATCCAAGGAGGCCCTCTGTTCATACTTGTCAGTCGAAGCCCCTGAGAATGATGGCCTGAGAGGCCCTAGTGGATCTGAGGAGGCCCCAATATCCACACTGGTCTGGGGAGGCCCCTGACACCGGCGGTCTGGGAGGCCCCTCTATCCACACTAGTCAGAGGTTTGAGACTGGTGGTCTGGGAGGCCCCTCCATCCACACTAGTCAGAATAGGCCCCTGACACTGGCGGTCTAGCCGAGGCCCCCTACCCTCACTAGTCAGAGGAGGCCCCTCTATCCTCAATAGTCAGAAGAGGCCCCTGAGACTAATGGTCTGGGAGGCCTATCCATCTACACTGTAGTCAGAGGAGGCCCCTGAGACTGATGACCTGAGAGGCCCTTATAATCACACCAGTCAGAAGAGGCCCATGAGACTGATGGCTGTGAGGCCCTTCTGTTCATATAACTGGCCACTTGAGGCCCCTGAAACCGTTGGTCTGGGAGGGCCCTCTATACACACTAGTCAGAAGAGGCCCCTGAGACCGATGGTCTGAGAGGCTCTTATATTCATACTAGCCACAAGAGGCCCCTGAGGCTGATAGTCAGAGAGGTCCACTCCTAATGAATCTGAGGGGGGCCCTCTATCCACATTTACACTTTTCTAGGGAGGCCCCCCCCCCGAGACTGATGGTCTGAGAGGCCCTTTTATTTATACTGTTCACAGGAGCCCCTGAGATTAATGGTCTGAGAGGCTCTTCTATTTATACTAACCAAAGGAGGCCCCTAGCATTGATGGTCTAACAGGCCCTTCTATTTATACTAGCCAGAGGAGGCCCATGAGACTGATGGTCTCTGAGAGGCCCTTCTATTCAAACTAGGCAGATGAGGCCCCTGAGAATGATAGTCCGAAGAGCCATGCGCGGCAACTGGCCGTGTCCATATTTCGGCTCAGTAGGGCCCCACAGAGCTCATGAGAGCACCTCAAGGGCTCCTAAGTAGACACGCTTATTCCCATAAGGGTGCCACGCCGGCTTCTGAAGGCTCCTTGTAGGCATCTAAGGGCCCTTTCCGGCCTCTAACGGCTCCACCCGCCTGTGATGGCTCCACACCAGTGTTTATGAGCGCCACACAGCGGCGCCTTTGAGGGTCATACTAGTGTCTCTTAGGGCCCTATATCGGTGGCTCTGGGGGCCCCACACCGGCGCCTCAGTGGGCCACCACACCTGTGCATCTCAAGGCTCTATAGGCACATCTGAAGGACCCACACCGACACCTCTGAGGGCCCACACCAGTATCTCGGAGCTCTGAAGGCCCCACACCGGTGACTTTGAGGACTCACCGGCTCCCGAGAGCACCATGTTGATGTCTAACGGCTCCACAAGGCCACTGAAGGCACCACACAAGCTCTCACTTAGCTCTAATGTCCATGTACCGGCCTCTGAGGGATTTAAGCCAGCGCATTCATAGCTCCACACCAGCAATTGTAAGGGCTTCACACTGAAGTATCTGAGGGTTCCACACCGGTGTCTCTAAGGGCCACATACCGGCATCTCTGAGGGCCCCATACCGGCGTCTCCAAGGGTCCACATCCGGCGGGCACCCATCAGCGACTGAAGGTCCCACACTGTCGACTCCGAGAGCCCCATCTGCGTCTGGGAGCACCATGCCGTCTTTAAGAACCACAGCGGCTCCTCCGTACGAAAGATGGGCGTCTGCATGCCAAAGGGGAGCGGTTCTGAGACAGTAGGGCACCTACGTGCAATAGAGGGGCGCCTATGAAGCCCATAGGGGCGCCTCAATCCGAAAGAGGGGCACCTCTGAGGCTTACATATATGGGCGTCCACATGCAATAGAGGTCTGCAAATTGCAATTGATCAATGCCATGGGGGTGCATTCATAAGAAAAAGGGGCGCCGGCATGGCAAAGAGAGGCGCCTTCAAGTGTCCTTAAAAGAGAGACGCCTATGATAAGCGCACATTGTATGCGACAACGGGGCGACTGTGGCACGTATGGGGATGTCTCTGATGACTTTTTTTTTTTTTGAATTTTGCTCCCGACAGGCCGCGGCCCATACATAGGGCGCTTATATGCCAAAGAGGGCGCCTATGAAGCTAATGGGGGCACCTGGGAAACGAGGAAGACATTTGTGTTAGGGTTTTCAGGGGTCATGCGCCGTTTACTGGATACTTTGTGTGCCACGCTCGCGATGATGAAACCGTCCAATTCAACAGGAATTGACGGCATTAGCGTGCTGATGCTGCAAAAGTTTTTCTTGGGTGTGAGACATGCTCTGCTTGACGTTGTAAACTCGAGCCTTGTCACCGGTACAGTGCCGCACGCCTGGAAGCATGCGCTAGTCACACCCATTCCTAAAGCCGGAATTGCCACCGAACCGTCCGATACTCGACCCATCTCGATTCTGCCAGCAATAATGAAAATTGTCGAGCGCGTTGTACAGGCGCAGCTCATTGCTTATCTCGAGGACAATTGCCTGCTCTCCGATTGTCAACACGGGTACCGTAAATTCCGTTCCACTGAAACCGCACTGCACGTGATCACCGATCTGGCGCTTCACGCTATGGACAACGGCGAGATAAGTATTCTAGTACTTCTCGATTTATCTAAATGTTTTGACGTTGTTCCGCATGACAAGCTGCTAGAAAAGCTGTCTCTCTACGGCATCACTACCAAATGGTTCCGTGACTATTTGGCAGACCACGCGCAGCAGGTGCAGGTACGGTGCGCAGACGGAAGGATGCTACTTTCCGATGAAAAGAGCAATGTGATCGGTGTATACCAGGGCGGCGCCCTCAGTTGCATTCTGTACATGCTGTTTGCGAACGACCTTAGCTTGCATGTGCCGGACGGTGTTAGTGTTGTCCAGTATGCTGACGACACACAACTGATAGTGACAGGCAGAAAGTGTGACTTACCGCAGCTCGTCGCCCGTATGGAGCACGGACTCGACATGTTGTACCAATGGTTTTGCTTCAACCGGATGAAGCTCAACTCCAAGAAGACGCAGATGTTAGTGCTAGGTACCCCCTCAATGCTGCGCAATGTACCACCTGTGACGTTGACCTTCAATGGAGATGTCATTCCAGACTCAGGAGTAGTTAAAAACCTCGGTGTTCAACTTGACAGGTATCTAAATTTTGAGGCTCAGATAGACAATATGTCCCATAAGTGCGCCGGTATTCTGATAGCCCTAAGTCACGCACGTCACGTCATACCTAGACCTGTGTTAAAGGGCATCACAGAAGCTCTAGTGTTATCCATTGTGCGCTACTGCATGTCGGTGTATGGGTCTTGCACTAGCACACAGCTGCACCGTGTACAGAAGACCAT